ATATTTGTTACAAAAATTTACACACACAGAATAGTTAATAGTAATGTCTATTATCATTCTGAAATATGTGATATTTGGACTATGTTTCCCAACTGGAAATCTCAAATACTTTAAAATTCAAATTAGCCTTCACAATGTGTTTTGCTATAGGGGGCAGGTGTTTGCCAGAGAGTGAGAGACAGAGAAAAAGAGAGGTTAAGTGAGAAAGCACACCCTGGTGGGGGATGACTACACTGCAGTCCCTTTTCTACCATTCTCCTCTCACGATTTTGGGCACATAAACACATGTGCCTGGTGTGTTTTTCAAGCTATCAGGTTCAGGACTCAAACACTGTGGTTGACCATGTGGAATCCAACCACCTTAATCACTATGCCACCTGGCTGGCCTCACAATGATGTTTTTTAAGAGTAGTAAATGTGAGGATAAAGAACGAAAGATTCAGTTTAGTTATTGTTGGGTTGGGGGGAGAGCAGGGTGCATGGGAGGCCTTAGTTCCATCAAGGGCAACATAACAAATATCATATAAGGCAGCCAGATCCCACATGGCTGACCAGCGTTCAAATCCTGGCCCTGGGGGACTGAAAAACACACTAGTACATGTGTGTGAATGCCTCAGATCCTGACAGAATGGAGAAGGGGAGACAAGACTGTGTTGTGACAACATCCCAACTCTCCTTGGGGAGTATATGTACCCTCTGGCAATTATGAAAACAAAAATAAAATTATACACAAATGCAGCTATGATGTAACCCATACTTTTAAGTTCTTTTAAGGGCATTTAGAGTTTGTTCACTTGACTGAAATCTTTCAGTGTTTCTGTGAGGCTTACAACTAAACATCTATAGAAAATGGGGTTCTGATATCTTTTTCTTGAAAAAACAAGCCCTTTGGAGAATAAGGTCCATGGAATCTATTCATCAGTAGCTAAAACCAATTTAGAAAATTATAAATGAAAGCTTTTGTCATTTGGAAAGCCTCTAGAGAACTGAAATGCACTTGCTAGTGACAAACACCCAGACTTTCTTGCCCTGGATAGCAGAGTAGAGAATACCTGTCTTGATTTTAGGAATTTAAAGTTTTTCTACATTTTATTTATTATTTATTCATTTGTTTATTTCAATTTGACCAGAGGGGGACAGAAAAGAGAGAGAAAGAGAGAGAGAGAAAGTGAGAAAGCAAGCTGCCAAATTTGGGACTTGAGCCACGGTTGGCCATGTGGGAATCCAGCACCTTTAACCACCATCCCACCTGCTGGCCCCAGGCTTTTCTACATTTGTAAGAAACAGCATATATAATACAAAACATGAGTGCAGTTACTCTAGGTAGACAAACCTGGGTTGAATCCTGACTTCACCCCATTGAGCAAAGTATCAACCTTCTTGAGCCTCAGTTTCTTAAAATGTAAAATGGAATAGCAATAGAACCTTTTTCAAAGAGTTGTAAAGATGATATATAATTCATATAAATCACTTGGCACTAGGAGTTAACAAAGGGAAATGTTACCTAAATAGGAGGAAATAAAGGAAGAACTATGAGGCCCCTTTTATCTATGCCAAACTCTGTCTGCAGAAGAGGAAAAAGACATGTGTGGCCCACTGGCAAATTTATTGTTTTATGGTAGTAATGGATTTTCCTAAAGCTGTTTCCCTCTAATCATTAATAATCTCTGTACAGTAAAGAGCCATTGTTCTTTGGTATGAGTAAATAACCCTGTTGGAGGCATTGCTTATCTTCAGACCACAGCGCATACTTCTTACTGGAAATATAATGCAGTTGCCAACACCACAGGCATGACCAGGCTTCCCTTCCTATTTTTCTTCCTTTATCTCTTACTCCTTGTTTATCCTTCAGTGTACTTTTCTCTTAGATCTATTATACTCCCTACTTTTTGGCATATGCCACTATCCTATACAATATCCTTACCCCAGTTGAATAAATTTCAGGTGAAACTGCTGCACATGTCCCTGGCCCCTGACAAGATTCTTTGCTTGGTCAAGGTTTAGTAAGGCTTCTGAATCTTCAGCTAGGCTCATGTGTACAATTCCTGCTAAATCAGTTTAGCAAGGACTCCCCATCTGATCACCCTTGATATCTGATTAAGTTCATCAGCCTCCACCACCGCCCCCAGGTAAAGTCTGATCATCCTAAGACAAGAGGTTCTGTCTTTAGCAAGAATCCTATGAAGTCATTTTAGCCAGAATCCCCTTTGCCCTGACACTTCCTCTTAGTTATTTTCCATTCACTGACCCCAAACTGGTCCTTGGCTGTAAATTCTACTTGCCAAAGCTACATTCGGAGTTGAGCCTAATCTTTCTCCCTCATTGCAATACCTCTTTGTGGGGGTACCTATACTGATTGCAGTGGTCCTGAATAAAGTCTTCCTTACTGTGCACTAGCAAGTATCACTGAACAATTCCTTGGCATCCTCTATCCCCCCTCCCTCCATCAATCAACGTACACATACCGAGGACTTGTTTCCTGCCCTGCCTTCAGTTTTTGATTACTAGAATCCAAAAAGGGAAGTATAAGGTCACATACTATTCTGCAAATCTCAGGATATGCTTGTGTGGTGTACTTCATACCACAGCTATTCTCTGAAACAGCATCTTACTACACAGAAAGTGACAAAATATGGTGTGTCAGAGATAGCGGTTAGGGAAGAGAAAGTAGATCATATATTTTTTTTTTCTTAAGGTTTTTGCCACAGGACACATGTGCTGCCCAAGAGGCAATGAGAGAGAAAGTGAGAAATCATCTCCTGGGGAGGATGGTCACACCGCAGTCCCATCTCCTCCTGAGATTTTGGGCACGTGTGTACACATGCCTGGCATGAGTTTCAAGCCACTGAGTCTGGAACTCAAACCATGGTCAGCCAGGTGAGAGTCTAATGCCTTAACTACCACAATAACTAGTGCCCCCAACTGTATTTTTACTTTATTTACAGAGAAAGAAATAAGGATAGGTTTTATAATATGGAAATTTCCAAAACATGAGGCAAATATGATGTTTGACCTATTTATCTCAGGAAGCAAGCAAAAACTATAGATAGACTAACACACATACATATATATACACATACATACATATTTTTCCTTTTTTAAAAAAATTGCCAAAGGGTATATGTACTTGTCAGAGAGAGAGAGAGAGAGAGAGAGAGAGAGAGAGATCCCATAATCCCTTCTCCATTTCTCCCTCCTTTCAGGCCTTTGTGTACATGGGCATATGTGCTACTGTGTTTTTTAAGCAACTGGATCCAAGACATGAACCATACTTGGCCATCTGGGATCTAGCTCCCTTAACCACCAGGCCATGGAATGGCAGCAAGAACTATATATCTACATATATTGTACCAACACTGTAGCACACACAAGATTAAACTTGTACAGGGGCATTCCAATAAGGCTAGTGTAATCAATACATACCAAGCAACAAATAAATAGTTATTTTTTCCTTCAGGGATAGATATTCTAAATCAAGTCCTTCCATTGGAAAAAAATGTAAGTTCTGGTTTCTTTATCAGCATTTTTTACTTTTCTTTTGCCAAAGGGGAGAGAGAGAGAGAAAAAGTGAGAAAGCATCACCATGAGGGATGGTCATGCTGCAATCCCCTCTCCTCAATCTCTCTTTAAGGGATTTTGGGCATGGGTACACATGTGCCTGACATATTATTCTAGCCACTGGTCTAGGACTCAAATCACACAATTGGCCATGTACAATCCAGCACCTTAGCCATTAGGCCACCGGCTAGCCTCTTATCAACATATTTTAAGAGACAAAGACAAGGTAAGTCTTTGTCATATGTCAGGAAAACCGGTTACCAGAAGTAGGAGGTGTTACCACAAGAATAGCAGAGGCTGGAAAGGCAAGGCCTATGCTAAAGATTATTCATTCATTCATTCCTAACTCTCCAGCCAGGATCTTCAACTCTTCACAGTAACCTGGGAAATCAGAGAACACAAAACACTAAGGCAAATTCCAGCTTTGTGATGTTCTAAGAACTTGGATTAGGAAACTGACAGAAAGACTTTGGTTACATCAGATACAGAGCCTTCTAGCATCTGACCAACACCTGCAATGAAATGCTCATAGGGTCAGCCAGGTAGTGGAAGGAAGAGGAGGCCTTTGACAAACTCCAAGTATGAGACACATAAAAACAGGAAGCAGTTCTTTAGTTCCAGTTGACTATCGCTGCGTAAGAACTTTTAGGAACCTCAGGCTACTGTTGTCAGATTGTCTGCTTTTATCAAATAAAGCCAAAAATCTTGATTTTAATGTCCAATTTTTAAATGTTGGCAAACAAATTTAAAAAATAAATCATTTGTGAGACTGAACAATACTTTCCTTTTTTTTTTTTTTGGTGTGGGGGGGGAGGTTTTTGCTTTAAAGTGCATGTGCTCGCCAGAGACAGAGAGACAGAAAGCGAGAAATCATTCCCCAGGGGGATGGCCTCACCGCAATCCCTTCTCCTCCATTCTCCTCTCGGGATCTTGGGCACACACGCACATGCACCCAGTGTGAGTTTAAGCTACTGGGTCCAGTACTCGAACCGTGGTTGACTACATGGGAATCCAGCGACATAGCCATTACGCTAACTGCTGGTCCCAGGCTGAACAATATTTTTATAGGCAATTAGAAATTTGCAACTTCTAATCTAGGTTGTACCTTTCAGCAGCAGATCTGAGATCGAAGTTTAGGCCTTCTAATTCTTCTGGTACCCTTTCCATTAAATTATGAGATTGACCACAATTGTGGTGGCACTGACAGTAGGGGCAGAGACTGAAGCCCCCTTGCCAGAAACTGTTGAATTCCATGGCTGATACCTTAGGAACACAGTATTCCTGACCAGCTACAATATGCTGTGCTGTACCAAAGCTTTATACCAAAGCCAGGAAGACACACAGAAGAGAATTCATGAGGGAGACACACATATAAATAAACATTTATCAGAAAAGTCAGGTTTTTTTGTTTGTTTGTTTTGTTTTTAAGGGGCACAAATTACCTGTGCACAAGTCAAAAAGCACTGATAGCTGGAAAAGGGACGGAGAGACTGAGCCAAGTCTTAGTGGGTAAGAGGCAGGCAAATAGGTGGATGAATCTCATGGATTATGAAGGTGGGTCCCATTATTTGAGAATATTAGGTTTCCTTCTCCTTTCATCTTTGTGGTCTTGTCTGTGTCAAGAGTCTCCTTTGCTGGTTTCTCCTTCTCTGGGTAACTTCTAAATGGTAAGAGCACCAAGGAAATCAGGGTCTCTCCTCTTTCATCTATTTCCTCTTAGTAATCCAGGTATAAACCCACACATTCATTATCTCCAACTATGACTCTTGTTGACTTGTACAACAGACTTCAAAAAGTTTGTGGAGAAATGAAATTGAAGTTTATTTTGGTCCAAAATTTTTGAAATCTGTGATAATTTTTTCATAATATGTACTTTCCATGAACTGTTTGAAGACCTCCCTAATATATCTAACTTTTCAACATCTTTACCCTGGATTGTTACTAGAAGTATCAAACTTAATTCAAATGAGAATATGTGGTATTTCTTTCCAAACTATTTTCTTAGAGTTATCCTCTCTCTTCCCACACACTGCACATCCAATTCACCAAGTACTGCATGCACTAGCTTCAAAATATATTCTGAATCTACTTATCTTCATTTCCACCTAAACAACTCTTTCAACACTATTGTCACCTGTCCTTTGGCCTAATGCAAACAGCCTTCTAACAGGTCTGACTACCTCCACCCTTCTCTACCCACCAGCTTGAGTGATTTTTGAAAAATGTACATCAGGTGAGGTCACTCATTTTCAAACCCACTCAGTAACATGATAGCCGAGCCCTTGCCTTGGGCTAAAAGACTGCAGGATCAGGCCCTGCCACTTTTCCAACCTCATCACATAGGACTCTGTACCATCTGTTTCTGTTCCAGCCACATGGCCTTCTGGGTTTCCTACCTTTAAACTCTTCCCATTGTCATTTTTCTCCACCTAGAAAGCACATTCTCTATCATCCTTCTGTGCTGGGGTCCCGCCAAACCGTGGCCTCCTCCCAAGAACCTTGCTCTATTTAGAATGGCCCTTCCCCATCTTCTATCACTTCACCCAGTTCTAGGGGCATGGCTCACTTGCTGAAACCGTCCTTACTTGTTAATTCTCCCGCAAAGTTAAGGAGCACAGTCTCCGTCTAGTTCTCAAATTTGTGGATCCAAGGAATTACGAAGCGGGCTCTCACTGTCCTAGAGTCTTCGTTCCTCAACAGGGCCTTGTTCGTGTCAATCTTCCCCAGCCAGACTCTTCTCGCCCCAGAATTGCCTTGCCATCTCCCATTAACATTCAGGATCCAAAAAAGTCAGAGAAGTGTCAGATGGGCCCCAAATCGGTGTCTCGGTAAGCCCGAATCAGGCCTTTCCGTCCTGGCCCGTAGTAGTACACTTCTCTAAGGAAGGTTCCCGAGACCTGCAGCGATGACACCGAGCAGTCCTCGCGAGCCTGGGGTCACACTGGCACGTTTCCTAGCAACGCCGCACGCCCACCCCATCCCTGTCGTGGGGAGCCAACCCCTGCCCCAGTCTCCCGCTCCTGGAGTCAGCGTCTCCATCCCCTACACTCACTCTGCGTCAGTCTGCCTTCCCCCACCCACAGAAGTGCCGCAGCTCCCGGCGGGCTTGGAACTCCGGGAGCCGAGCTGAGCGGTGGCCGAGGGAGCTCGAGCAGGTCCGGTAGGCCAGGCCGGACCAAACCACCGAGCGGACCTCTGAGGGAGCACTAGTCCCAGGTCAGGCGTAGTCTCGAGTCTCCCTAAACTTCAAACCCCACCCCACTTTCGGACGCATCCAAAAATATAGTCAACTTTATCCTCTCCCTCTTTCCTTTTACCCTTTTTGTTACTCTCTCCCCCCATTGTAGTCCAAAACATGGTCCAGCCCAGCTTCTAGCGCTTCCTCCACGTTGCCCTTACTTGGCGACGGCTTCGTACGTCTCTGCGTACGTCGTGACGCAATCTTCCACGCGTTCCTCCCCGCCCCTCTCCCATTCTCCCTCCTGGAGTCGCGGCCGGCGGGGTTACCGGAAGTGATGATGCAGGGGGCGATGGAGGGGGCGGGGTTTCAGGGCGGCCGCCGCCGGTGGGCCGCAGATGAAGAGGAGGCGGTGGCAGTGGTGGCATTAAGAGGGGGAGTTGAGGAAAAGGGGGGTATTGAGAGATGAAGGGGCGGGGGTTGGGTACCTTCGAGAAAGAGAGGGTGGAAGGGGAGGAGTGGAAATCTGCGCCTTGTCTGGACTGGTCCCTCTGGAAGAAGAGGCTGTGAGGGGAGCCTGTGGCGTGTCAACTGCAGGGCTCAGAAAACTTACCTACTGCCCCTGCCTGCCCACCGCCAGCACCCCTCAAGCCAGGGCCTGGGGATCTGGGGCCTGAGCTGCCCTGGTGGGGGTGCAGACTCTGGTCCTATGTCCTGGGTACGCGCTGTGAGGTAGGAGCCCAAGGAGGAGGTGGTGGGTGAATCTCTAGCTCCCTCCGCCCTCATTTCCCTCCCCACCCCCATCCTTCTCTTTAATCATTAACAGCCCAGGAATTAAGGGGCTCAGACCTGAAGGCCTTTCTATGCACCTTTGCTATAAACGATAACCATCTGTGCCTAAGGTAATGGGGCTGGAGATTTTCCCTGTATCCTGTATAGGAAGTGGGACGGAGTGACAAATGTATTGTTTTTTCACTCCCTCTCACCCCATACACACTCCGTGTTTCCACTTCAAATCTCTGTGGCCCAGTGGCAGTCGTGGTTATGTTTTTGTTTTTGTTTTCCTCCTTTATGGCACTTACACCTTGGCTGCCGCTTTTGAATTTGGTGTGCAGCCTCTATCCCAGATCTTAATTGCAAGCTTTGCAATACTTCAGTTACAGGCTGTGTCACATTGGAAGTACCTCTCATCGCCTGGTAGCTCCCGACTATAAATGAGCATTTTCTTTTCCGAATACTGGAATTCAAAAGCCTTTGCAAGGAATCCTAAATGGAATCATAGCCCAGGAATCAAGGTCTCTTGCTCTAAATACTTTGTGCGTGAGGAATTTACATGTTGTCAACTCTTTCCAGAATGATTTGATGTTAGACTAATTCTGGATTTCTGTGTTTCCACCCACATTTCATGATGCACTTCACAGAACAAAAACCCTTATATTTTTTTTTGTTTCTACGGTTGGACAATAGTTCTTTTATCTTTTTCTCCATTTGTGTTTCTGGCACACAAGTCTTCAGTGAGACATTCATCTTCTGATTTTTACCTTATTTGCTGATTTTTTGTGTATAGTTGATCTTAAAGGAGACAATGTGATCCATTTAGTTTGTTTTAAAGAATACAAACCAATAAAGGCTGTGAAAAAATTGTTTGAAGAAAGCAAGGGATTTTGGGAAAGAATGTTATCTATTGGTTTATTTAGTCAAGTAGTGCTCTTCTAGTCACCATATGGATTTCAAAGTGTAATGATTCTCTTTTTGGTGTTGATATGTTCTTTGGAAATCTGTTAAATATGAAATTGTTTCCTGAATAACTTTAAGTGATAGCGTCAACATTTTAGGGATCCTTTGATTAAAAATCCTGTTCCTCTGTAGCTGAGCTTGATATGCATATTGCTAGAAGAATGATCATAATGGATGTTCCGATGCTGGGAGGAGTCCCATCCTCTTATGGCTTTCGTATCTGATAAAACAGAATATTTAATGCTTGGATTGTACAAGTAACAGCATGTTAGATGTTTCACAGAACTACAACAAAAGAATGACTAGTGTTCTCACCTTAATTGATTTGGAACCTAGTTTGCCATTGAATAAAAAGTCCAAAATTCATTCATACAAGAAACACATTGAATAGCAGCTCTGAGCGTTTCAGGCACTGGGTGTACAAAGATGAACACAAATAAAAGTTCCATGCTGGGACCAGCAGGTGGTGTGGTTTTTAGGGTGCTGGACATTCCCACATGGGTGACCGCGGTTCGAGCCCTGGACCTGGTGGCTTTCTCTCTCTCCTTTACCCCCCCCCCCCCCCCCCGGCGGGCTGTTGGGGGGTTGCCCCCCCCCCCTCCCCCCCCCCCCCCCCCCCCCCGTGTGTGTCTGTGTGTGTGTGTGTGTGTGTGTGTCTGTCTGTCTGTCTGTCTGGTCAAATTAAAATAAATGATGAATAAATAAATTAAAGTCATTAAAATAAAAGTTCCATGCCTTCAGGGAGCTTGCATTGCTGTGGGGGAATGGGAACAGAGAGACAGATAAGTATGCAAATAACTTGGATTTTGATTAAGTGCTCAAGAAAGTAAGAATGATATGGTAGAAAGTAACTGCGATGCAGTCAAAGAAGACCTTTCTGAGGAGGTGACACTTAAGTTGAGCTTTAAATAAAAAGATGGAGCTAGCATGTGAAGATACAAGGGGAGGGGCCTTCCAGGTTCAAGGAACAGCTAGTGTAGAAACTTGCTGGAATGAGCTTGGCATATCTAGGGACTAGGAAGAAATAGGCCCAGTGAAAAGATGAGAGGACAGAGGTTGGGAGTAATAGCCAGAGCTTAGTGAGCAAAGGGGAAAGAGAGATAAAAGAGACAAGGTCAGTATCACTTACTATTTTTGCAGGTATTGTTGGACTATTATAATAAACAAAAGTCACCCTGCTGAGAGTGAGGGGAGAGGCAACAGCTAGTTCTTGAGCTGTGTGTCCAGAATTCAGC